CAGGATGAACAAAGCATTTATTTGAAATATCATTTTTTTACTACATTATAAATGCTGTACTGTCACTTTTGGTCAATTTAATGCGTCCTTGCTAAGTAAAAGTATTTTATAATATATAAGTTATTAGCAAGTATAATAAAAGTATAAAAATAATTTTTAAAATACTTCATAAAAGTGTAATAAATCTATTAATTTATTTCAAAAAGTAGCGTAATCCCAACATAACAGACCATTAAACAATAACAAGTTTCCTCCTTTTCCCATCTTTCTCAAAAAACACAAAAACATTCAACATTTACTCTCCCTATCCAGTGAGTCAAAGCATACTGGGAGTCAGAAATCCCATGCCCAGTTTCAGCAATATTATGTTAATGCCAACGAACATTATTCATGTAGTAAAAAAAACTAAATGATTGAAAATACTGTTGTATTAGCATTCTAATGAAACAAATTAAGCAAGCACAAAAACATGTTTTTGTATAACAAATATTTAGATCTTATAGGACGAGCTGAACAATCAGGACTTTTTTCTGGGTCCCACAATTTGCTAAATGTACAGACCACTGTGAGTTTCAGTGGACTTCAGAGGCTACAGTTTTAGTGGGAGTCTTTGTTGTGAATTTGGATGAGGAGAGTTCCAAGGCCTCTGTCTCACTTTAGGCTCCTCTGTGCTCAAATCAGCCCCTGAGGACCAATCAGCCCTGAGGATTTATACACAGGCCCTTAACAACTGCCTCCCTTTCCTGCCACCTAAATTTCTCCGGTTTCAAGTCCTCAGGGCTTCATCAAATACTCGCATTTCCCATTAATGCTGGCTGGAAAACAGATATGTGCAACAGACCATGGGAATTATGCAATATCATTTATCAGCCGGAAGCTTTTTACAGATTTGAGAACATGAACTGTGCTTTGAGGACAGAATCATGCTGTTCGGTTGGAGAATCCCACTTTTGATGCCTTTCGACCTGTTGAGTTTCAAAAGCAGAAGAGTCTTTAGAAAAACAAAAATTCACACTGTCGCATGCTCTTTCTTGAGGTCATTTGTATCTTTCTGCAAGTTTTACTGTCTTGAAATGGTTAACTCATCTGACCTACATATCTTAAAGTGTATTCCAGTCAATTTGACAACTGTGTTTTTGCATTAGATCACATGCACAAATGTATGTATTAATTTGGTTCTGTGTGTCAGTATCTGTAAACGTTTCAGTGCATGTGATAGCCATAAAAATTCATTCATTTTTAAAAAAGGTTGCATCTGTCAAAAAAGACAGCAAGCAGGTGGAAGCAGCGATCTGATTTAATTGAAAAAATTACTCAAGCCTTCACAAAGAAAATGTATTAGCTGTTTGGTCCAGCAAATCATGACTCAAAGGTGGAGTTTCATTTCAAACTGATCACGGAGCCCATTAAACGCCTAGAACAGGGAATCAATTAGCATTATCACAATACCTGACTGATGATTCACACTCATGATCAAAGTTAGAACATCCAGTGTTCCCAATGTCAATTTGCTTGACCTGGAAGCCCAATTCCTGCCATTTGTTTGATAGGGATGCTTTGTCTGCAAAATGCAAGGCTTATTATTTGCGATATTAAAGGCTTCTTACATCTGTAAGACATGCTTTCAAATGTGCCAGGGGAGCACTTAGAGCAAAGATTACATGTCATGCCATATGGTAATCTCTTCTTAGATGCAAACACAAGGAGATGCATAGTTTGTTCCAGTATGCGAGTGAATTGTATTTTTTTAATGTTTTTTAAATACATTGAGTACATGCTGGTTCATTTTGAGCAAATTCCCAAATGTGTATATGTACTTCTCAATACAACTTAACAGCACTACTTTATAAACTATAGTTAATGCACCTTAAATTCATACACTAGAACAAGATCTGTGTGTGGACCAGCCCAGTGTTGTGTTTTGACAAGGTTGGCAAGTAACAACACAGAACTAAGTGATCCACTACAACTAAAAAGTTGTAAGAACATAAAAATGTATGGCTCCACGATTTGAAGCGAATTCCCAAAAAGTGTGATTGCATTTGAAAAAAATTATTATATATCATCAACATGACAACAATGGCAATATTAATACATTTATATTATACTTGTTGTTGTTTTTGTTGTCTTCATGTTATTATCATGTTGTTACAGTGAAATATTACAATAGTAATATTTCTTACTTTGATATTTTTATTTAGCAATACTACTACTAATATTTATTATTATTATTACTACTACTACTACTGCAAAATAGAAAATATAAAACAAAATAAGAAATATTACTATTGTATTACAATACAATAGTAATACAATAAATACAAATACTAATTATAGTATTTTCTTAGTTGTGTATTGTATAAAAAATACAATACTAACTATTATGTCTGTCTTAATTTCTTCAATTTCAAACGTTAAACCATTTTACTTTTTGGCAGAAAACCAAAAGGAGGCCAAACATCTTCTCTTTTGTTGACAACAACTGGTTGGTTTATGAACACTTCTCATTACAATTTCACAACACATTACAACTGATATTATTTTGATTAATTGTGCCGCCCTACTATAAAGTAGCCTTAAAATATGCTCAGTGGCTTTCTATGGAATGGGGTTTAATGGAGCCATCACAGTTAAAGTACAAGATCATATAAAATATAAGATGTTCTGTGCAATATTTAATAATATGTTATCATATTAATAATATTTATATTATTAAAATTAAATATTTAATAATATAAATATTATTAATATGATATTAATAATATTTATATTATTAAAATTTAATATTTAATAATTGGACTTGAATTTTTTTATGTGTTATAATATGGCACACATTCTCTCTACAGTGGATAAAAAAAAGCATGTGCTGTTTTGTAATGTGTCCAGTAACTATTATGGGCAGAAGTGAGTCATGCCACAGCAAGGGTTGTGGTTACAGGTGATGGACTCTTTCCAATTACCAGATCCTCCTTTAATAACAACACAAAAAGAACATACACACTCACTTCCACACAAAGAAACAGAAATAGTCACTGAAAAAGAAATGCCAAAATGTCAATGTCAAACACCAGGCTTCTCTTTTCATAGCATAGCTTGTTTTTCTTATTGCATAATATGTGCAATGTCAAATAGTTAATCTAGACAAAAGACTAGCCGTAGCAAAGAAGAATCAAGGCCAGAGAAACAAATACAAATGTGCAGCAAGTCTGTTCATTCTGCAGAGAGGGAAGTGGTTGGTTATGGTATCAGGATTGGTTTATTTCATGTTAACCTACTTGATAAGTCTACTACAGTACATTGTGTGCTATCCCAGAGTGCTCTGTTCCAGCATGGTGCCATGTTACATGAATATACTTTGACCTCTTGAGGAACAAGGGGAGGTGAAAACTTTAGCTAGATTTGGCCAGCATGTTATGATTTGAATTGCTCTGTTCTGGTTCATTGCCATTTACCTGTGACCTGACAGAAAAGCATATTTACAGTGACATATGTCTATTGTGTATGGTTTTATGAGGCCGTTTTGCCTGTGTTGTGGAAAACTCATTCATATGAATGTAAGCATTGTTTTCCTCTCTTGGATTAGCTACTGTACAGAAAGGATTGAAATAAAAGTGAATCGTAGCCTGAAGTGTTGCACTAAGCCAAGAGATCAATTACCCACAAACTGTACCTCAGATGAACTTCCTTTTATATTCAGTGGGAGAACAAAATCACACTTTACTCCCATAGTCAACTAACTCTCATTAACTTGCAACTACATGTTAATTAACTCCCATTAGAGTATTAGTAGACTGTAAGGTAAGGTTTAGGATGTGTAGAATAAATTGACGTACTTGCAAATTTACTTAGAAGAATGTCGGTTGGTGGACCATCAAAACAATGTGTTAGCAGATATTAAGCAGACAGTCTACTAATACACTACTGTTGACATGTTGCAAAGCTACTTATAGATAGTAGAATGTCTAAAGTGGACAATCAAACTGTTACCAAAAATCACACAAGAGCACTATAAAAGAAATCAAGACTGCTGAATTTAAACAAAATAAAACCAACACAGTCTGGCCAAGATATATTGTTTCTTGTCTCTTTGTCAGATACATTGTATCAAAAGGTGCCTAATTTAGCAAACAAAAATTAATCTAAAGTCAATGTGAATTATCATTTACAACCCATTTTATTATAATGTGACAGATTTCTGAGTGAAAAATGGGCGTTACATACCGGAATGGAGCCAGACCAAATGCTGCCCACAAACTCATGTGGCCTAAGTGACATTAGCGGGAGGAAAAAGTTATAGAAAGATTAAGTTATTACGTATTGATTAGTAAAAAACAAACATTAATAACATGAATTTTTCACAAGTAGACCATGAATGAAAACAATTATATACATTAACTCATCAAAATTGATCCCATTTACTATATTTACTGTTCATTTAATTGATTTATTTCACTTTATTTATACTTTATTATAGATGCACAAAACTAACACATGAACTAATCAAGGGAACTAAGGAAAACTAGGTCAAGGGACTGAAACAAGGCAGGAGAACAAAAAACAACGTTCAAACTGTGACAGTACTCCCCCCTCCGGCCAGGCGCGACCTCGCACCATAACAGAACAAAGGGTGGAACAGAGGGGGATTTAGAGGAGGACAAAGGAACAGAGTTGGAATGGAAACAGGGGATGGCGAAGGGCAGGCAGGAAGGCAGGCAAGTGGATGACCAAGGTAGCGATGACGGAGGGAGGAACCATGGCAGATCAGATCAGATGGAGGGAGGAGCCAGGATGGAGGCTGGAGGAGCCAGGGTGGATGAGACGGAGGGAGGAGCCAGGAGGGACTTGGAGCAGGAGGAGACAGGCTGAACCGTAGGTGGAGATCCGGAAGGCCGCGGTGGAGCCGGAGCGACTGCGAACCAAGGTGGAGCTGGAGTGAGTGCCCAACGGAGTCGGTGGGACGCATCGACGAGGCGCAGCTGGAGGAGTGGAGTCCTGAGGCGATGGCGGGTCGACGACTGGCTAAGGCGGAGCTGGAGGGACGAGGGAGCCCGACTGGACTTACAGGCCACGGCGGAGAGGAGGGAGCTAGGAGACATGGTGGAGACGCTGGGTCGACGGGCCGAGGTAGAGTCTGGGACTCAGAGGCTGGAGGCAGAGATAAGGGATCCTCCAGCCACGATGCCCATTGGAGACTGGCAGACCCGCGGCAAACCCACATCACAGATGTTGGGCTGAGGGTGAGCTGAGGGCTGACAGGGGATAGCGGAGGCGGTGGTGAGGACTGATGAAGAGGTGATAGGAGAGGAAGGGTGGGTGGGAGTTCATGACAGTTAGGGGTTTTAGGATTGGTGTATGCTGCCCACTAGGGCTGCACGATATATCAAAATTATTGAAATATCGCAAATGTAAATATCGCAATATGCATATCGCAAGGGCGTGCGATATCTGAATCATTTTAATAATAGGCTACTTAAATCAAAACGTTGCAAAAGGTCAAAGTTTTAGTTCGACGCATATAGCAGAGAAATGCTTGACGTTAAAAAGGGTTAAGTGCAATAAGTTGCAGAAAACAACACTTTGCCATCTTGTCTTGCTGTCTGACTCACACACAGACTGTTTAGGGCAGACAAACAGTTCAGGCACAACCTCTATGGTCGTGATGGTGCAGACAGAGAGGCGCACAAAGACAAAGGTAATCCAAATAACATTTAATAGTAATCCAAGATGATGAAGATTCATACAAAACACAGGGTAACACAAGCAGCATACACAACTAATAACCGGCAACTGAATGAACAGAATGGGGAGACTTTATACAAATGCAAATGAGGGACTAATGACCTAATGAAAAGGACACAGGTGAACAGAATGAACTAATCCAAATTCTGCTTCACTTCCTGTCTCCGGAGGTACCTTCTTCTAATCAAATTTTGAAGGCAGCATAGATGTATCCTTCGCTGCCTTTGATATGCCACAATCCTGTGCATTCCATTCCGTGACAGTTGAGCTAAAAAATAAAGATAGTTGCAGTTTGTGTATAAATGTATATTTCTGACTAACTTTTTGCACTTTTGGTGTTATTTCTAGCGAGAAATCAGTATTATAGTAATTAAATATCCGTTTAGTTATCACAAAACTCGTTCTATTATGTTGTAGATCATTACACCGTTACGCTGCCTCAGAAGCCTGTCCGAAATCAGTTTCATGAGGTGCCTTCGAGCAAATACGCTGCCTGCAAAGTCATTGCCTCATACGGCAGCGAGGCAGCAAGTCAGCTGCCTAAGTTTTCGGATGCAGCCTAGGTCAAGGGACTGAAACAAGGCAAGAGAACAGAAAAACACAGAAAACAAGGTTCAAACTGTGACACATATATACTGTTTTATATATATATATATATATATATATATATATATATATATATACCTAGACATCTCAAGACATGGAAAGAGAGAAGCAAATGGTTGACATGACTGGGAACAAGCCTGCACCGGCTGCCTGGCCCCTAGAGACACACAAACTCTGTTAGACACACATAAATGTGTCAATACACTACGCAGCTGAAATATGCATGAGGTGACATATAACACGGATATCACCTTGCAACCGCTTCGCACGCCAATGGCAATGTAGGTTCAGTGACTGGATCTCATTTCACTGTGGAAGGGAAGGAAGTGAGCTATTGGTATTGTTATAATCTGCTCTAATATCACATACAAATAATGTTATTGACTTTCTTTAGTTCAAAATACAGATGGAAATCTAATATTATTAAAAGTAGGACTCTGTGATTTTATGTTTTTAATGATGACAAAACATACTGATAAGGATTTATATGACATACGCTTCCTCCTTTGTGATCTGTGAATCTCAATATGTACATTTATTGTGTGTCTTAATCTATATATAAGAGCGTTTTCTCAACCAGTGACATAAACTTTCAGAAACAGCTGTCAAGGATCATGGAAAATGTATCAAATATTTACCTAACATTTTTCCTTCTGTCCTTCCTTCCAATCAAATTCTATCCAAAGTGATAGATTAACTGATTAAATGGACCCTGAACAGCATCATGGCATGCATCCACAGACTAACTCTCTCTCTCTCTCTCTCGCTCTCTCACACACACACACACACACCTGTGAATGAACAAATAAACATGAACACACACAAAGCTGATCTATAAAATCCTGTTAAATTTACTTTAAAGGGTTCATATGATGTTGCTAAAAAGAACATTATTTTGTGGGCCTACTGTGTTTTTACGCAATGCAACGTAAACATAAAACCATGTCTGCATTTGTGATCGAAGAAATGACAAACAAGCGCTACTCTACACTGCTCAAAACTCACGTTTGAATCATCAGTGGCAAATCCTTTAAATTAAAACGTACTTACAGTCTGTGAGTCAGAACAGTCGGCATTGTAGTCTACTCTACCAGGATCAGGAAACAGTCCTCCATAAAATGAGCTGCACACATCTGAATATTTGGGTTGAACTGTTCTGGAACAGTGTTGTAAATACAACTTAACCACTGATTTCTAGTCGTGTCCTCTTTTGGAATGCCAAACAAAGTAGTTTCGCTTTCACAACGAAACACACGGCGGGCTGGAGTGAGGAACGGCCGGCGGCGGTGGGCAAGAGTGAGCGGTGGCCGACGGGCTTGAGAACACTTTGATTCTGATAATAGTCCAATTGTGTGTGTGTTTTGTGCATCTCATTAAGCTGCACAAACCTACAGTTACATGCTATCAAGTTACATTGAAGAGGCCTTGGATTTACTTCAGCTCACCAGCTGACTCTGATATTAACACTCCAGTTTACTGGAATACCATGAACTTTACTGGAAACCTCCAGCTCAATAAACATGCATGTTTGAACTGAAGAATGTCAAACTGTGTCAGTCTAGCAGGTTAGAAACTTTCACACCAGGCTTGATTTTGTTTTATCTCATGAGGACACACTTAATAAATGTGCACAGTGGAATCGACTCAAGTTTCAGGCATTTATTTGTCAGTCTATTGATTTATGTGTGGTCATGTGACCAAGTACTGAGAGTAATAAGGCTAGATATGGTTGTGTGAGAAAGGTGTTATATCCCATGGACCCCAGGGATCCTCCTGTTCAACTCCTGAAATGTCTCTGTCAGCCTGAACAAGTTCATGATCTAAGATAGCCTTTTGCAGCAAGTGTTGTGAATAGGCAGAGAAAAGTAGATAATAAAATCAATGGGGTTACATATTATTATCATTACCATGTGGATGGGAAGTGAGTTCTGTAAGTAATATATCACAAAACATGAAACAGATCTCGCAAGAGGCTGTTTTGAAACTACATATATAACTACATACATTCCAAGGCAGGATGATAAATATTGACGGAAGTATTGATGTGTTAAGAGATGAGACAGAAGTGATGCATCAAGGAGTCAATCAGAGAGAAAGAGGGATGTTTGCTATTTGCGATGGGCTGAGTTTTCAAGTATTTGACACTGGAATTCATATTATGGCAATAATAATTTTTAGAATAGGCCTCTTTAACCAAAATGGTCTCATGTTAAATTGCTATAATTTCAATTTCAAGATGGCAACATCTAAACTGTTAAGCTGCACAAAAACATTAGACCATAAACCTAAACCCAATCATGAATGGGGGGGGGGGGGGGGGGGGTGCTGGAAAGCCTGGCCCATCTTGAGAGGAACGTTTGACAGTAATGAGACAGTAAAGTGTAAAGCACCACTTTGGATTATAGACACGGATAATGACCACATATGCAGAAGTGATCTCCACATCACCACAGTCTCCGCTGACCACTCAAGTGTCACATACAGGTGCATCTCAATAAATTAGAATGTCGTGGAATAGTTCATTTATTTCAGTAATTCAACAAAAATTGTGAAACTCGTGTATTAAATAAATTCTATGCAACCAGACTGAAGTAGTTTAAGTCTTTGGTTCTTTTAATTGTGATGATTTTGGCTCACATTTCACAAAAACCCACCAATTCACTATCTCAACAAATTAGAATACAGACTCTCCTTCATTTTCTACGCAATATTTTTCTACATTCATATATTTCTGACTCATTAGCAACTAAATTGTAATATACAAAATTATTTTGAGAAAAGCTATTTTAACGCAAATGCGTTCTAACGGACATACACGAAATCACTCTAGCACCAGGTGATATTTAAAACAAAATGTTGCTGGACATATTTGCAATCAGCAATCCCTAACCCATAAACAGAAATATATACATTAGGAAGCTCTACAGGAGTAAGGAAACATTCACTCACAATGCCCTTTTGCATCCTATTGCGTTGCTTTTCCATTATTTTCCTATATAAACATGTACTAGACAGACTTCTTTGACCACGCCCATTCTAAAAACGTGGCACTTAGGATAAAATAAATGAAACTTATAAAAAACGCGATCAAGACCTTGCTTTTTTTCCAATTCCATGCCTTGCACTTCGCATTTTAAATGCAAATACGCATTCTGTCAACTCATTGTGCTTTTGCTCCAAATTTCAGCGGCAGATCGTTGCCCGCAGATAATCACATCGGTGTTTATAGGCCTATTCGGATGAATAAACCAGTAGTATTTTTGAACAAATCGTTTAAGTGAATGATTCAATGACCCACTCATAAAGACAGTCACTTGTATAGACTTGTACAGCCAATTTGATTATACTTTAAGACAGCAACTGAACTGAAAGTTTTTTTCAACTGTGAAATCCCTACCACAAATGCAACAGACTGACAGTCTCTCTGGAACAAACATTGAAAAGTCAGTGCTGTTGAACTGTTATTTCAGCACTGTTGGAACATTGCTTGACCAATCAGATCTGAGGGCCAGAACTAATGCATAATGCTGTTTACACTGGATTGATCCATAAGCAAACACATTTTTAATTGTGTTTATCATTTTCTTTGGTGTTACATTACCACAGTGTGGTTATAAGTGGCTGTACAACTGTGTCCTCCTATAGACAGTCAAAGGTGTGCATCAGATGAGGAAGATGAGGAGGTGAACGACTACCGGGTAAAATGTCTGAATAACCTGGCAGCAGCACAGCTGAAGCTTGGACAGTCTGACGAGGCTCTGCACACCAGTCGGGATGTGCTGTTTCTGGATCCCCAGAATGTCAAAGCGTTATTCAGGAAAGGGAAGGTATGGGTGAATATTATTCAACAAACTAGGCATTGAGATTGTTTATAAGTTGTTTATACTTTCCATCTGGACTATACATTTTCTTATGGTTGTGCTTAAAACAAATGCATCTGCAGCTTTTATCGGACAAGGGTGAGTATGAGGAGGCCATGGAGAACCTGAAGAAGGCTTTGAAACTGGAGCCGTCCACTAAGGTGAGAGGCGTAACTGTATCTCTTGCACACATCTAAACTTCAGCAGAAAATCCCATTAGCAGCTATTTACAGATCAACCGACCTTTGTGAAATGCCTGGCCTAACTGGAACAGTGTTATTTATCATTGTGGATCTATTTGGCCTATTTAAGACAAAAAAAAATATTTTTTAAATGTCTTTCTAATATGTTTGCATTTCATGGATATATCACAGTTCCTTGACTGGCCTGTTTGAATATGCAACACAAACTTAAGACTAGAAAGTGAAATCCTGTCCTGAGAAATTCCACTCACCCTAAAACAGTCAGAAAGAGTGCATCCAAACAATATTTGTTTCTACAGCTAGAGTCTTATAATAACAGAAAATGACAGTTTTGTGCTGTGTTACAATCCACAGAACCAAAACTTGTTCGGTCATGCCTCAAATCCTCAGAGCAGCCACCAAGATTAGAGCTGTCTGGAGCCAGTACACGGACACAAAGTCACAGACATACACACTAGCCTTCCAGTAATAAAGTGAATCAGCACTGTATACACCGTGGATGTTTATGACATTTAAGAAGCAATAAACAGAACAACTAGCCTCATTCATAATTATGAAGAATATAATGACCCATTCTGCAAAAAATTTGCAAAATGTCATATCTAATCTGTTTTATTATAAAGTTGCACAACATGCAGCTCCATGAAAGCCCATAATGCAATATGCATATCACTTAGTGTGTATATATATCTATCTATCTCAAATATTACAATACACACACACACACAGAGACTTGGGTTTCCCTCGGAGTAAGTTGGTGAGGGGGCTGGTGATCTTGCTATAGTTTAGGATAAAGTGACAGTAAAAGTTGGAAAATCCGAGGAATCGTTAGAGCTCCTTAATAGTAGTGGTTTCTGGCCAGGAGGTTATAGCTTCCACCTTCCCCTCGTCCATCTGGATACCGGTACGATCAATGTTATACCCCAGGAACTGCACCGTGGTTTGGTGGAAGGTGCACTTTTCAGCCTTGAGGAATAGGTGGTGCTCTCTCAGGCGTTGGAGAGACCTCCGCAATGTGCTGGCGATGTTCGGCCTGGCTCCGGGAGTAGATGAGGATGTCATCTATGTAGACAATGACGAATCGATGAAGAAACTCCCGGAGCACCTCATGCATAAAATCCTGGAATACGGAAGGGACGCAAGTCCATAGGGCATGACCAGATACTCATAGTGGCCAGTAGGGGTCACAAAGGCAGTCTTCCATTCATCCCCCTCACGTATCCGGATGAGGTTGTAGGCACTGCGGAGGTCCAACTTGATGAAGATGGTCGCACCTCAGAGATGTTCCAGGGCATTAGGGACGAGGATGATCGAATTTGACGGCGATATTGTTTAATGCTCGGTAATCTATACAGGGCCTCAAGCCTCCGTCCTTCTTGGCCAAAGAAGAAACTTGATGCAGCAGGGGAGTTAGATGGACGGATGTAACCTTGACCCAGCGCCTCCTTGACGTAGTCCTCCATGGCCTTCTGTTCAGGAAGCGACAGTGAATAGATTTTTCCCCGAGGCACTGGCTCACCCGGAATGAGATCTATGGCGCAGTCCCA